TTCTCAGTCTGGATTCGGTAGCACCTGATACAGCTATATATCCCCCCACTTAGATCCTTCTGTTTTCTGTAAAACTCTACCTTCTAATTCTTCATCCATTATACTGTTCTTGACTGCTCCTCCTTCTACACCTTCCCCATCCTCCCCTTCTCTCAGTCCCATTCGATTCAAAAGCTCTGTTCTTTGCCATTTTTTCCTTCTATATTGTTCTATGTAACATTATGTTTGGCTTCAACTAACACCAACCCCCACCACCTTGACCTGAAATCTCCATTTCTAATTCCTTTTCCAATTATTCTTACCACCACTATGATATCTTTCAGAAATGCTTATGAAAGTATCATTATTTTTCAAATTCAACTCATAAAAGTAGTAGTGTCCAATTACTGAGAGTTTACTAGGTTTGTGCTGTTTTCAGTACTTTACAGAATCTCATGTACTTTCACAAGAAATCTAGAAGACAGAGTTTTACCTTTCCTATATTGACCGAATGGGGGGAACGACCAGTTGCTATGATGTGCACTGTCCCTCAGGGGACAGACGCTCAATGCAGGAGCCAGGCTCATGGCTGGTGAGCGCAGCGATGGTGGCAAGAGCCTTTCCCCCCTCCACAGTAGTGCTAAGGATGTCTGAGTGACATCCCCTGAGGGCTTCTGGACTGTGAAAGGGCACAGGACTCCCCCCCCGCCCCTCCTGCCGCCCCAGTGCACGAATGTCGTGTACCAGGCCTCTAATCTTATATATGAGAAAATTGAAACTTAAAAAAATTTAGTGCTAATTTACATTCTCAATCATACGATTTACCTCTTTTATCAGCTTCCAACCAATCTTCTCCCCTTCTGTGTCTCTTTTCTATCAGTAATATCACTGTAGTGTAAGTTTAAATCTTTATTTCCTTCCGCTTACTCCTCACATTCCATAGTTGCCAAGTTTAATTAGTTCTATATATTCTCTATTCCTATTGCCATTATGATAGCATAGAAGAGAGCCTCACTAATCTGTATGACTATAATAATCTCTTGGCACTAAAAGATACTTTCAGTATCTTTTCTAGCCCAACCAACTTTTATAAACAAATTCTGATCATGTAAACTTCTATTGGAAAACATTAGGCTCAAAGCTCATTTATATGATACAGTCTATTCCAAAGATTATTATTTATCATTAATGAAACTGGCTTTTAATGTGGGTATCTTATGAAATAAACTATACCCTACTTCATTTTGTAAAAGAAGAAATTCTTTTTTCTTACCTTTTGCTGGGTCACCCAGAGTGGTAATAGCACTGCTGCCAATACAGAGTCCACGCCGACATACTAATTTTGCCTTTAAACAAAAGACAGTACTTTGCTTATCATATTTGTCTTGGGAGAGGTAATGAATGAACACTATAATCTATAGGCTTTCAAATAAATATAAAATCTTTACACTATACATATTTATGGCACAAGGCAAGGTTATGTAAGGCTACCGTATCTGGTTAATAGTTCAAATTTTTTCATGAAAGCCACCATTTCTCTTAACAAAAATGTCACCAGCAAAACCAAATTAAACAAGATCACAGGTAAGTCCTTTCTTAAAGTTTTCTTTTTCAAATATAGCTTTGGAAATGTTTTACTCCCAAATGTGTTTTGTAGTACGAATCCATAGCACATCTTATTTGGAAGTAGCTGATTAAATAAAATATCCTGGTATTACTATAATATCTTTATATTATATGCTAATATTAAACATTCTGTAAATAAACCTACCATTGCTTTTAAAAAAACCATTAACCCTACTAAAACATCACCTTTGAATGATGTTAAAATTTTATCAAGGTGCCAAACACATCTTTGGGACATACCCTGCACACAGTTTCCTTCTCCCACAAGTCAGGTAAAAGCAACAATATGGATGTTCAACCTTCAAAGATGGGAATGAAATAATTCCAACTAACTAGAATGCTGAAAGTGCCCATTTTATCTCCAAAACTATATCATTTAAGCCTGAAAAACCTCCATAAAGAATAGAAAATATCTATGTAAACAATGATACATAATGGAGAAATAGCCATTCATTCCATTAAAAGGCATTACTGTTACCTAAGAAACCTGTATTAATCCAAATCTGACCAGTTTACAAATGTATTTAAGATAAAACTAAAATAGACCTATAAAAAGTTGCAGAAATCAAATCTCTTTCATAACTAGCTTCACTGTCATTTACATTGTTAACAAACTAAGTAACAAAAAAGGCTGATGAACTGTTAATCTATAATACTTACTTAAAGTAAAAAGCCAATACTTAAGTTTAATAATTTATTTTGTACATTAATTCACAAATTTAATTTTATACTACCTAATTCCCTTACCTGATTTTCACTTTCAAACAGAAGAAACCCATAAGTTTCTTGAAGTTCTTCCTGAGTGTAGTTACTTGCTTTTTTTTCTTGGTAAAAAGTTTTGTACTATATACAGAGAGAATAACCAAATGGTATAAACATGTTATTTTGCCTTGCAAGTTAATTTTAAAAAAATATATAATCTGAATTGCTCCTGCTAAAGACTAATAAAATTTATTTTTCTATTCTTTAGATTATTACCTTCCAAGTGACTGTTTCTAAGAGTCTTTTATCTAATTTGAAAAGAGAGAGCTTAAAAGAACTACGCTTATATACCCCAAATGATGGTTCTTTAAAGCTAAAATAAAACTAACACACAGACACAGTGTGTACCAAGCACCTCACCTCATTTAAGAAAATGTCATTTTTCACCAAAGTCACTTGACTGTATTGAAACCCATGCTCAGATGCAGAGTCCAAGTAAGAAGTATGGAGAATTGAAACTGCCCTCTGGAAGAGAGAGTCTGAACTCAAGGACACTGTCTCAAAAACTGTAAAACACAAACAAAAATAATGCAACTGTTTAAGATAACCAAAAGAAGGGATTAAAAGTGATACACTAAATACTTCATCTATTTCCTTCCTATATAACTAAGACTTTTACCATGTGTTTTGGCGATCATATCTTAATTTAAAAGACCTCTCATATGAAGAAAATAATCTAAATGAATTATAATTTAGGGTGAATTATTTTCAATACAAGAGTAAAATGTACCCTGCCGATCCCTTATGGCTGTGGTTTAAGCTGGATGTTATAACGTACTGTTAAGTTGGTGGTCAGCAATCACTCAGACCAATGTTTCACATCTTTATGATTTTTTAAACCTATGTCATTATTTTGATAAATTTACCCTTTCCGTCTTCTCATCAAAGCCCCACGTACATCTGTTGGGCTCTTTTTAAGGAGCCTACTATTGCACACTCAGCAAACACATTAGAAATCATTGTATCTTTGGGGTTTCCTCACAAGCTTAGATATGTCTATTGAACATCTTATGGTTTGTATTATAAAGTCATTTTTTCATTTTACAAAAATAAAACTTTATTACTTTTTTAAAGTGCTATTTTCAAACGATACTCATGTGCTATCCCACATATTCTGATATGCCCTTCCCATGAGAGGCATGTTTCCTAATTGAGAATTGCTGACTCAACCTAGTATTTCTCTTGATGTGAGCCTTTGTGCCTTTTGATTTTACAAGTCTTTAGCAAGAACTGAGCCTAATAACTTCTCATAATATTTAACCATTTGATTTGTTTACTCCTTTCTACTTATATCTTCTCTACTTTCTTTAACAAGGCTGGGAAGAAGTGTACAAACTGTTAATTTATAAATAAGAGAGAGCATGGAATAATTTATATGGCACTGTTAGATTTTAGTCATATAGTACAAATAAATACATTAATGCGGCTTCTTACTTTTACCAGAACTCTGCAAGTTACAGTTCAAAAGTTAAAGGAAAAAAGCGTATTATTATTATTAAAAAATATGTTTTTACTGATTTCAGAGAGGAAAGGAGAGGGAGAGAGCGATAGAAACATTAATGATGAGAGAGAACCATTGATAGGCTGCCTCCAGCATGCCCCCACTGGAGATCGAGCCGGCAACCCAGGCATACGCCCTTGACCGGAGTCAAACACGTGACCCTTCAGTCCACAGGCTGACGCTCTATCCACTGAGCCAAGCCAGCTAGGGCAAAAGCATATTATTTAAAATTAAATTATTAACAACAAGTAAGAAAAAAAGAAACTAGACTATCACAGAAATGAAAACAAACATTTCAGTGAAATTAATTTGGACTAAACTGTCCTAGCACTTCAATTATAAAGTTAGCTTAAAATGCTTTATAAAAAAAACTTCCTACTACAAACAATGAAAGATTGTAAGCAGCAAGGAAGGAAAGAAAAGAGGATGAAACACTAAGAATATTCTGAAGTGGTATATCTGATCCATATCAATTCTGTTTTACTTTTTCTCAGTTTCACTTTCTCCTTCACTATCAGTATAATAGTGCTATACAAAATAAAGATATTCTAAAGAGATTAAAATAGCAAAACACCCATGATAATAAAACTTATGGCTTTCTAAAGCTGTATTACTTAAACTAGGAGGTCTATGCATTTGCAAATTCATCTTACAAAAGCTTAAATACAAATCAGAATTCATTTAAAAATTATTAATTTGGAAACCTGTATTTAATATTTTAAAAAGGCAATATAATATAAAAAATATAACTACCTTGAAGCTCAATATTTGAGAATATATTGCTTCCAGTGACAGAAAGAAAAGTTATCACTGCTTTGAAAATGAACTTTTTATGACTATCAATTTCTCTAAATTCTACAAGATGTTAATAGGCAAGTTTTAAGTTTCATAAGTACTGAATACTACTGCAGCCCTATTTTTGAGTGCTAAAACACAATAAACTGAAAACTGTAAAAGCAGTGCAATTGAAAAAAAACCATACCTAACACAGTGTTTCCCGAATACATGTAGTCAGAGAACACTTTATACCAGTGTACAGAGTATTGTTCCCAATAAAGCTACTAATAAAGATGATTTAAAATAAACAAGAAAATAAAATAAGTAAAAACAACAACAAAAAATGTAAAGATACCAAAAAAGGAGAAACACATAGGAAATAAATTACTTTGTGCTTATATATTTTTATTTCTAAAACTATTTCTTTTTAGTTAAAAATGCTCCCCTTTAGGTCAGCATCTTCCAAACAGCAATATATATACAAAAGTCATTCTTTTATGGTTAGAAGGGAAAGCATGTCAAAAGCCATGGTGTTGAAAATCACAGTAAATCTTCAATCTTTCATGACTTCATAAATTACTTCAATTATACTCTCAAGAAAGCATGAGTTTCCTACTCTATATATAAGATAGTTGAGAATTTTACTGAGGAATTATTTAACAGTATCTCTCCTTACATAATATACTTTTGTTTAAGAATCTAACATATAAAATGGTAAATCTAACTTATTATAAGCGGTAAATTAATGGTCTCATTTTTTGCTAAGCAATACACATTATTTATACATTCAAGGTTGTAAAGAATATTAGGAGAATGAAAAGGGGACTGCTGCAAAAAGAAACCTAGTACATCTAAAAAAGTAACTTGAAAAGTACTTGCCTATAATGTAGAAAAAGTGTCCCTAGGGCTTTAAGTTCAATCATAATGGCTCTGGAAATTGAGTTAATATGCTTTCCTGTTGCACCAAGCTTTGGACACATTTCTCTGCTATTTGTCGATTCAATCTAAAATGTTAACTCAAGCTTGACAAAAGGTAGAATCTGTTCAAAGTACCCTGCATTAATCTTCCCTTTTTCAAAATCCATTAGAGATACTGAGTATCTGGTTTGGGGTACTTTTTCTTTTTTTAACTTCTAATAAAAGAGATCTGATAATGATAAACGGATTTCTGATGGTATATCATAGGTATATTTTTCATTCTATAAGCATCTGGTCTGACATCAAATAATGAGATGAACTAATGCCAATAACTCAGGTGTCCCAAAACTCTGACAAAAATCAACCACTTTTACCTCTCCCCAGAACTTTCATTACCACATCTCCTGTCTGTGCATTAAACAACAGCACTTATCAATAAGAGAAATGCTCAGATATAATATCTGACATTAAAGGTCCTTATTAGGATCCCCTATAGACGGATTGCAAACTACACCTCCTAATACTATCTATGCCTATATACTTTAAGTCTAAGCAGGCCATCTGATAGTTGTTGAAGAAATAGCCTACCCCTAAATCATCTAATTCTAAATGTATTACCTTTACTTTTAATATACTAAAGAATTGCCAGTTTAAGATAAATACTTTTTTAGAGCACAATTTGGTAGGGCCTAACAAAAACTTAAAAATGTGCATATCAAATAACCATTCCATTTATGAGAATCAATGCCTCAGAAACACTAGCGTAAGTACACAGTATATATATATATACAAGGGTGTTTCATCACCAGAATCCATAATAGCAAAAACACTGGAGATAATGTAAAATTGCCATCAACAGGGAAACACATTGCATTTACTAAGTAAAATAAACTTGCATATACTGGCATATAAAGATATCTATTATATACTACGAAGTAAATAACATGCATTATATAATATCATTTTGGTTAAAAACAAAACAAAACAACAATAATCCAAATTATGTGTTTGAAAGTATACAGATAAAAATCTAGAAAGATGGGAAACCAATTTGTTAACAGTGTTTAAACCAATGGTTATTGAGAGTGGGAAATGGTTAAAATGGGAACTTACATTTTTTACTTTATACATACTTCTACAAATTTAGGTTTTTCTATATAAGCATATATTCTAAGATATCTTAATTCAGAATCAAGTAAAATACATCATAATTAAAAAATACAAATGAGGAATATGACAATTTTCCTACAATTTAAAAATTTAATCAATCACTTATCAGTTATGGACTAATGATTTATAGAAATTTGTAGCTATTGAAAATTATAAATTTTAAAAGTTCTTTCATATGATTAAAATTAAAATTTAAAAAGTTATACTGGTCTACTTTGAATTTATTAGTAATAACTTATTGCATTTAGTTTAATACCCACTGTTTTCTGATATGAACCCTGTCCTGGTCTTCTCTAAGAGCTGGGAGGGTGGTCTTAATTCATTTTCACCAAGTATACCCCCAGAGTTCTTGACATAGTCCTGTTTCCTGTTAATGCCATAGATGCTAAAATGAAAAAAGAAAAAATTATATCGTAAAATGAGTAGTTCGATTTACAGCATATCTACTATATAAACAAATAATTACTGGCATCTAATTTGCATTAGGTACAATTCTGTAATGGTTACCTCCTATGACAACTCTACAGAACTAAGGGCTAAAGTTGCTATATAAGCAGTAACACACATAAAATGAAATGCTTTTCCTTCAACATATATTTTTTTTAAGTTTTAAAGAAAATTTTGTCCACAGATATAAATTATGCTAATAAAATCCCTTTTGCCTCTCTGGGAAAAAAATCCTTCAAAATGAAGAGATTATAGAATCACATTCATATTCTACTGGTTGGAAATGGCAAAATCAAATAGAACACAAATAAAATATCTCCCCACACAATTTGGTAGTACCTAACAAAAACTTATAAATGTGCATATCAAATAACTATTCCATTTCTAAGAATCAACTCCTCAGAAATACTAGTGTCAGTGCACAGGACATATGTATGAGGGTGTTCCATACACCAAAATCCATAATAGCAAAAACACTGGCAAAGTCATAAATTAATCATATGATTCATTGATTCATTAAACACAATTATTAGTGACAATTATTACATACCCAATATTAGAAAAAGTCTCTACAATGAAAACTATTAGACTAGAAAGAAGCTAAGCCTGTAAAGAAACTAAGTACTATAAATGTGTAGGAGAATCTAGAACACAATATAGTGAGAACATAATGGTACAAACAACTAATTTCATTGATATGTTAAGAAAGATTTCAGAAAGGCAGAGATTCTTGAAATCTGAATAAGTACTAAAAACAATAAGTCAAAGAAGGGCATAGTGCATATGTTTTCTAGGCAATGGAACAAATCCAGAGGTAGAAACAAGATACATGTAAGGAACTGCAAGTTGTTTTTTATTTGAGGAATTCAATATGCTTTACAAAAAGCAATTTAAAAATCACATGAATAGTTGTATAATTTTACACTTTCCCCCTTGCAAAAGTATTTGAGTCAGAATTGCGTGGGTATGAATAGTTTTAAGAAACAGTAGCAATATGATGATATTCATTCATTAAGCAAGTAGATTATGTGAAGAAGGGAGAATTAAATTGGGAATCAGGATACCAGGATTCTACTGCAGGCCTATCATTAACTTGTTTTGACACCTTCCTGTGATATTACTGACTGCCTTCCCAATAATAATGCCCCTTTTTCTTCCCTTCTCCCAAACAAGCAATTTTGGTTAGGTATTGGGTGATCCAAAGCTTCAGGAGAGGCATGGGAACAGGGTGTGTGTGCATATCCCAAATAATCTAAGCTCATTATGGTAATTTCATTCTCTTTGGTTAGTGACTGTTTTAGGAATAAACATGTGACTCAACTCCGGCCAAGACTCTACAAAGAGAATTCTGGAAAAGGTTTCTTACAAAAGAACAGGAGGAAAAGGTGCACTCTTCCTGACTCCATCCTTTTATAGCCTTAAGGCTTTATCTGAAGATGGGTTTCTTATCTGGAACTCCCAGCACCCAAGATTAGATTGAGCAGCCAACACAATGTTGATGGAACCAAAAATAAAGAAGCTAGATCCTTCAGGAAGTCCTAGAACTGTTGAATGAACAGGAACTGCCTTGCCTCTGAATCTTTTGACATGTAAAATTAGAGGTCCTATGCACGAAATTCGTGCAAGAGTAGACCTTCTTTCCCCTGGCTGCCTACACCGGCTTCCCTTGCAGCCCTGGCTTTGTTTTGAAGGATGTCCAGTCTAATTAGTATATTATGCTTTTATCATTATAGATTATAAATTATCCTGATTGTTTAAGTCATTTTGATTGGCAGCTGAAAGCACACTATGAACCTTGTTAAATTATTTGTTCTAAAGCCTCATCCTATATAATAAAAGCCTAATATGCTAAGTGTCCAGTCATCTGGTCAGCCATTCAACTAATCAAAGTATAATATGCTAATGATATGCTAAGGCCATCCAACCGCTTGCTAAGACCGTGCACTGACCATCAAGGTGCAGACAGTCGACTGGTCAATCAGTCACTATGACATGCACTGACCACCAGTGGGTAGACGCTCCAACCGGTAGGTGAGCTTGCTGCTGGAGTCCAGCTGATTGGGACTGAGCGAGATGGGCTGGACATGTCCTGGAGCTCTCCCACAGTCCCTCCCCAGATGGCCAACATCCCGCATCTTTCCCCAGCCCTGATTGTGTACTGATGGGGTCCGTTGGCCTGGCCTGTGCCCTCTTGCAATCCAGGCTGAGGGACCCTCTTCACCCCCAAGTGCACGAATTTCATGCACTGGACCTCTAGTTTAGCTATAATTATCTTTCTAAAGCACTTTTCAGCGCTAACACTGCAACTATAAATCTGCCTTACTGAAGGCCTACTATGTCTGAGGCATTGGGAACTGCACTAGATAACTTATCAAATTCCTTCTTTACTTGTTGCCATGAAGAGACATTTATCCTAGTATTTATTAGCAAGGAAGCACAAAAGTTAATATAACTTCTGTGAAAACTCGAAACTTAAAATACAGCAAAACTTCAATATAACAGATTAATTTAGGAGTGGGGATATTTGTTAAAAGTTGAAATTCCATTATATAATAAAGTAGATTTTCCAAATGCATATGTTTAAAAATTGACAAATTAGTGAGTTTACCTGTTTTTACTTAGGTAGTAGTCACATTTGTGTAATTAAAATTAAGTATGTACAAAAAGTTAAATTTCACCCAAAAGTTTTCTGTATGTATTACTGTAATTTTTCCAACATATGGCCTATTCGCTAAAGTTTGTTAAAAATAACAATGAATTAATTACAACAAAAACCCAACCTGTTAATTTTCACATGTGACACACAGACCAGAAAATTTTGTCTGTTAAATTTGAAGTCTGTTAAATTGAGGCCGCAAAATCAAGGGTTTACTGAATAAGGTATTTAGTCTTTGCTTGACTTCCACCTTCTCAATAAATCTACCTTCTCCAAGGCACAAGTGCAAAATAACCTTGATTCTTATTACTATTCATGTAATGTCCCTCTTTAGTCACATACAGTCTGATTTTCCATTCCGTGTCTAAGTTTTTCTCATATTTAAAGCCTAGTTTAAGATCTAGCTTCTCTGATGTCTTAAGATTTTTTTTAGCTTGCATTAATCATTCTTCATAAGTGTTCCACAGATATCTACCACAGTCCTGTTAAATGTATATCTCTGCACTAGAGCTGGGGATAAGCGGAGAAAACTGAAGACCTGTTTGCTGGTAGTCTTTAACATTTAGGCCATAATTTCAGAATTATGTGTGAAACAACTGTGTTCAGGACAATCTCCTCCTCAGACTAAAGGGAGGTGATTAAGGGCATGGACTCTGGAATCAAAGGACTTGGAAAGACAAGATTTTGAACCCAGGTCTTTCTAGCTTTGTGGCTTTCTAGCTTTGTGACAGGAATGTGTCAGAACAAGAAAGCTATTTAATCTTCCTTCCCCTTCTTTTTAAAAATAAATTTCAACAAAGTATATACACTGAATAAAAAGCCAAATGCCACTAGGCTTATCAGTTATTGCCCCCCCCCTCCCAGGGCACCCTATTTTCAATTCTATTAAGTAACCACTTTCAAATTTAGCTGTGTCTTCTGATATAACTCCATGTTTCTAAATAAAATACCTGTATAAACTTTAGATATTCCTTTAATGAAAAACACCTTTCCACACACACATAAAAATACACTTCTTCCCATCCTCTCCTAGTAATATCATTAGTTTTGTTAACAGTATTCAATGTTTCACTAAATTGTATACATTAATCATGAGTGAGCCAAAATGGGTAGTCAATTTCCTTTCTTGCACAATGTTTTGTTTTTCTGACTTTCAAATTGCCTATGCTTAATATTCAGTTACCAATTAGTATTTCAGCCTAAAATTGTACTACAGCACTAAAAATAACCACTGAATAGATAGATACATCAAGTGTTTTTGAAGAGCTCCTTTGTAGAGCAACATGTGGTCCAGCTTCAGTCTGTATTTGTGCTTTCTGCTAGCTTTGTGACCTTGTTGGAGGATGCTGAGATAAAACATTGATCTACATATGTTCAACACAATTTCAGTTTGCAGAAACTGATGACCTGATTTTTAAAATGTATGGGAATCAAAGGATTTAGAACAGCCAAAATAATTTTGGAGAAGAACAAAGTTAAAGGACTCTGAGTTTAAAAATTACTACACAGCTAAAGTAGTCAAGACTGTGGTGTTGATGTAAAAAACAGCATAGAGAATTCAGATTTTTCAGCACACTGCCAATATACTTCAATAGGGAAAAATCATTTTTACAACAAATTGTGCTATAACAACCAAAATAGAAAAATCCATAGAAATATTTTTATTGATTTTAGAGAGAGGAAGGGAGGAGAGAAAGGAGGGAGGGTGAGAGAGATATCGATTAGCTGTCTCATATACGTGCCCTACTCAGAATCCAGCTTGCAAAAAAAAAAAGTTCAATATAGCTCTGGCCAGTGCTGCTCAGTGGTAGAGCTTCAGCCTGAGCATAGAAGGGTCAATGGTTCGATTTCCTAGTCAGGGATACTTACCTGGGTTGCAGATTCATTCCCAACCCTGGTCGTGGGGAGAAAGGAAACCAATTTTTCTTTTCTCTCTCTTGCCCCTCCCTTCCACTCTCTCTCTCTAAAAATCAATGGGAAAAAATATCCTTGGTTGAGGATTAATGAAAAAATAAAGAGAAAGTTGAGAATACTGCATGGGTCTAAGCCGTCAGTCGGACATCCCCTGAGGGCTCTCGGAGGGCGCAGTCCAGGCTGAGGGACTGCACCCACCCCCGGGGGCATGAATTTTCGTGCACCGGGCCTCTAGTTATTTAAAATAGCGAAGATACAGAAATAACCGAGGTGTCCATGGATAGATGAATGAATAAGGAAGAGATGGCACACACACACACACACACATTACACACCAATAAAGAATAAAATCTTGCTATCTGCAACAA